ATCAGCATTAAAACGCCTACAGTTAAACCACAAGAACAAGACATCAGACTCGATCGACCAGGGAACATGGAAAACAGCCCTGGTGGTGAGTACTCCTTTAAATGTATCTTTCTGCGCGTTTTTAAATGTTATTCGATGCTTAAAGCAGGGGATTTTTTTCTTTTCTTTTTTTTCTTTTTTTTCTGGAAAGGAGATCGTCACAGTATTCACTCAGGGGAAAAAGATGTCATTTCTCTTTAATGACCCCCCTTCTCCCTCTCCCCAAATGTTCAATGATGGCCATTGAAAAACGGTCCTCCGTAGTTACCCAGGTTCAGCCTGTGGTCATGTGCTGCATTACATCCTCGTTTTTTTTCTATAACATTTCTACTATCTACTGCCATGTCTAATAAATGCGCACACTGAAATTAATATATGCGTTTTTGACCCGATCTTTATATTTATACACATGGGACGCTACACTGAGGCTCGATAGCTTTTATTGTTGCTTTATTTGGCCGCGATAGCGTTTCACCAATGGTGGCAGCAGGCACTCCTGGCCCCATTAGGGGCACCAGCGATTGTGATCACACGATTTCACATCAGCATATCTAGGTGGAGTAATTATCTTCATGAAAGCGTTGGTTTTTGTTGGTGGTTTAAGTTTCGTTTCTCCGAGTTTAATAACGGTTGTAGTTTAAAGTGTAGTTTAAAGCGGTGTGTCAGTTGCACCTGGTGCTTGTCGTCTGCAGTACTGACACAGTAATCATCCTCATATCTCATGCATCTGACCAGGTTCCTCATTAGGTAATAAAATGGCCTATATATGCCGTATCTTTAATGTTGTTTAGTCCCGTTGCCAGGTGCCTATTATGGTCTGCTGCAGCAGGAAGCTGTAGTGTTGAGTCTTTTTAGTAAAGGAGTAAAAGCAGAAAATTAATTTTCTCTGTCATGTTCTATGCGTGTAAAAACCCTCACATGAAGTGCGACCTTAAACGCCCCCCCCCCCTCTCCCCCCCGTGTTACGTGTGTTATTGTGTTTCCACGCTACAGTTTGCTGAGCCTCTCCTCTCCCTCTGCTGGTTTCATTGTTCTATTATCTGTCATCGCTCAATCACACCCCTGCTCTGTTAAATACTCTGAATACCATACAAGACTCATAGAAACATTCAACAAGTATTTGACTTGGTGAATAATTCCCTACTTTAAGTGGTTGATTCATGGGTTGACCATTTTTCTCTGACATTCACTCTTGGCATGTACCGTACCTCTGCATCATATTCCCCTTCTTCTTCTTAAACACATGTGAGTGGGCTGTGTGTCAAGGAGCAGTCACGCCCACTCAGTCAAAACAAGTAATTGCTGCCAAAATGTGTTTCCATGTACTGGCCCCATGTGCTGTATGACTGGAGGAGCTGGGCTCAGACAAGTAAACAGCTTGTTCTGCCCCCCACTGAGTTATATTTAAAAAAAATCAAAAAAATCAGAGAAGCCAATGATAAACGAGCCATGTACCAATTCTGAGAAATTTTAACTCCTTAAGATTAAGTTAGCATACCATTAGTTTGACACAGAAATACCAACATTTAAAACCATTTCTAAGATATCTTTACTACTTCCTGGTTGCCAGAATTTGGCCAATTCACAACATGTAAACTCAATTCATGTCCACAATGGTCCCACTGTTTTGCACTCATACATTGCTGCCCGTGCTCCTTGCCTGTAACCAGCTCAAATATAGGTCATAAATATTCAGCAACAGACAACAAACCACCTCGAGCGAGTGAATGTAAGATAAGAAGTATTTACCTTATTATCTTTATGCTAATACTTAATATTTACCTATTTAGTATTTGTACCTTGTCATTTAAAGAAAAACAACCCAAAACCTTTACTCAACCATTACATGATATGAATGACAGTAAGATAACTGTACAAGCATGCAATACAAAAAACACTAGTGTTTTGTTTACTGTCTAATTTTAAAAGTCTACATTAAAACGTTTTTACATTCACATAAAGGAGCTTTATTATGACAAATAATAGCTTTTTATTTAGGAACATTATTTTATTTTTCATAGAAAAATACAAAATGTAATGGTGCACATAATAATAATCAATAATAATAATATTAATATTAATGGAGGACTCGTGTTTCCCTCTGCCTTCCCTCCTCAGCTCACTGAAGGGAGAGACAGTCGTGACAATGTTTGGAATCATGCGCCTTTTTCTTTTTTTTTTTTCTTTCTTTCTTTCTTTTTGCAAGCACGCAGCTACACCCTCCTCCAGCCCAGAACACGTGTACTAAGCTTCACCAGCCACGTGCCGCGCGTGATTCCCGGTAGCCCCGCCCCCTCGCGGTCCTCCCTCTCTCTGCTGCTCGCGCTCAGTCCGCACGGGGTTTCCTCAGCTGTGTGAGTTTGGTCAGTGGGTCAGAGAGCTGTGACAGCAGGGCCGCGCCTACGCTGATCACACAGGGGCGAGGCAGCCCGTCTGTGGCGTTTAATAATGACGAGAACAACTCTCCTACTCTATATTCGGTGTTTCGAAACAAATCGAGAGATATTTTATAGTTTATCAGAAGGTTATTTAGCTTACTTTCTATTGTTGAGATACATTTTAAGCTGTTTTTCAAGAGAATGTTGTAGCTACTACATTTAAAACTAGATTAAAGATATTGTATACCGGAATGTTCTATAAAGTAAAATATAGCAAGCCATGAATGCTTGATGACTGCTGGGTATGAATACATTATTTAAAGATAATTTATAGCTTATTAGCTGGCTAAAATACAAACTACAATTGTGGAACTTAACCAGGTAACTGCAGCCATAATACTAATATATTTATCCAATATGACCAGAGCATATGATTGGATGAATGTTTTCTGCCCACTGCTATGACAATACAATTTACATCAGGGATAGATTTGTTTTTAACAAATATAATTTAGACTTTCAGCAGTTTCAGAATTAATATTCAATATACAAAAACTGTACTGATACTTGAATTTAAAGAGCATCACAAATTTTCAATGTAAAAGCTTAATTTAAAAGTCAATGTAAATGAGTCATATATATATATATTCACTGAGGTACCATGTTTTGCTAAATTCATCACTCTCTGTATTTAATTTGGCCTTTGTACTTGTTGTTTTTAAAGGAAAACAAATCACATGCTAAATGAATGAGTGACCAGAGCTCATGTAAAGCAGTAACTTCCAAAGTGTGGGCTGCAGTCTACTGGCTTTGGTAGCATTGTTTGTAGGCTCCAAATGGGGATAAAAAAAAATCTAAAATTTAACACAATTATGTAGTTTATATACCTACAAGAACATAAGGATACACAAAGTATCTGGGGTTTTTACTCATAGCTTTTTAAAACTAGTTTAATTCATTTCTTGATATGAGGTTCATAGAACACCTCCTACATTCAAAGCAGTAAAAATGAGAGGTGTGGAGATGAGGAGTCACCGTGGTCAAACCATATGTCTGCCATGAAGGCAGCCGTATCACGTGTAGTGAGGAGGTACGCAGTGTATGTACACATGAATGAGGAGAGGAACATGTGCTCTCCTCCCTCCACCTCCCACCAGACATGATACAATCATGACGTTGACTGTGCCGTTTGTCTTTCATATGCATGTTCAAGGGCTGGGAACACATGCCAGCGGAAGCCAAAGAGAGGAGGGGCGCTGGCGTGTTTTGTTTATACCGTCTAGCGTTCATGGCCATATGTGTATCTGCCGGTCACATGTAGGAACCTGTGCCTGAGTGGGATGATATTCCCAGAGCTCACACTGGCTCCCAGTCACAACAGCTTCCTGGAATTTTAAGAGAAGGCCAAGTACGAAGGCCTTTTTTTTTTTTTTTCTGAGAGCAAAGGGGTGGGATTGTTGATTGTGAAAGTAGAAAAGTGGGCGTGGAGCTGGTGTGTCAGTGGGTCGTCGGAGCTTTGCTCTGCAGGGAATTCACATGTTTTCAAAGGTAAAGCTCTGACATGGAGACACACATGACGCCGCACATGTAACATGTGTGTGTTTAAGTGAAAGCCACTGGTTCTTTCACCTCATGGTACAGTTCAAGGCCAGAGGACCTTGCAGTGGCTGGTGACACGTGTGGTATTAAATAGGCATTCAGAGCTAAATGGCAGAGCAGCACGTGTTTTCTCAAGGAGAGGGAGGGAGAGAGAGAGACAGAGAGATCAAGAGACAAGGCTTTCTTTTTCACACGATATAAGGTTGTCGGAAGGAAACGTGCTCAGCCTCAGAGGATGACACTGCCACACACAGTTCACCGAGCCATTTTTTTTACCTGCCGTGCGTGAGATTGCTTAACCAAGAGGAAAACAAACGTCGCAAACACAGTAAAACAGGCTGCTCCAGATTCAGTAACATGCAATTAATATCCTCATCACTGCAGTGGCCAAATGGCACAGAATCTAAAAGGAGAATGTGAGACATGCAAACGCTGCAGGAGGAAACCGTTGGGTTGCTAGGTTTTTATGCCAAAGTAATTAGACGTCTGACACATTAATCTAATGGCAAATTTTTAAAAAAAAGGAGGTCAAACCGAGAGAAGACATTGAACAACATTAAGCGCAGGATTTCCTGCTTACACCTCTAATTTCATCAGTCAAAACAACAGCCAACAACGTGACTGCCACCCTTTGCACGGTGTTGTAGTGACTGCGTGGGATGCATCCGCCTGTGGTATCTGTGCCCTCCTTGCCCCCCTCCCTCCTCCCTCCTCCTACATGTGTAGTCACAGCATTAAAGACCTCTCAGTTCCAAACGTGATCTGCCCTGCTGCTTGTTATTGTGCTGCTGCTGTTGTCTAAACAGGACTGCGCAAAGAGCCTTGTGAGCAAGGCGGTAACTGTGTCAAGAGTCCATGTGAGCCGTTGGTCAGGTGGCTGGTGGATAGATGGGTTTGCAGGGCTTGAAGCCAAAGCGAGGAGGGAGGGCAAGGGAGGAGCGGGAGGTAGGCAGCAGAAGAGAGGGGAGGAGGAGGAGGAGGCGAGGAAAGAAGGGAGGCGGAGGGAGAGCAGAATAGACTCAGGCAAGCTGGGAGCTGTATGGCTCAGGCGGCACGTGAGTTGCAGTCGTTCATTTCACAAGGAAGAACACTGTTGGCAAAACAACACGGGGGACGGGATGTGGCGTAGGGCAGAGGGGGTAAAAGGGCATTTCCTATTTAATGTGGCATCCTCAAACAAAGGTGTGTTTGTATGTATGTATAAATATATACATATGTATTACATAAAAGGGCATTTCCTATTTAATGTGGCAGGTATATTTTAGGTATATTTTAATATAGAAAATTTAATTTAAATATCTTATAAAGATTTTGTATATTTTAATTACAGAGCTTGACATTTTATCTATTAAACATTAGCATGTGTTTTGTTTTCTTTAAGTTAGTTTTCAGAGAGTGCTGCTTTTAAAATTAAATAAGTTGATTTCTTTGGAATACAAAAGCTACAAGAGTTAGTTGGAAAAGTCAAAGTGAGCTAATGGCTAATGGCTGACCACAAACGGCGAAACCGTACTAAACAATGAAGTTAGTCCAGAAAGTGATCCCATATGAAACAAATGTATCCACAGCACACCTTCTAGACAGGTGTTCTCGGGGAATAAATGAAGCCAGAATAGTCAGTTACTCAAGAAACAGCTGAGAATTAGCAGACAAAGCTACAGGATTAACTATAAATGAGTAAAAGGAAGTCATCAGAACCTATCCACCATATGGCATATAACTGTCATTTTAGATTAGTTAAGATTTTTTGTTTAAACCAATGACGTACAATCAATGCAGCAACACAAAAAAATGTCACTAAAGACGTACAATCAATGCAGCAACACAAAATAAAAATGTAACTAAAATATATATATAGCTCCTGAACAATAAGAACCAGAATGTTAACTATTTCTTTGACATTTTTGGGTGTGGCATTAAACCGGTAATGGTTTATATAGCTTTCCTCGCCTTTGTTGATCATCTACTTGTAAAGGCCACAGCACCAGTGTTCCATGATGACATTAATGAATGTGCACCTGCAGGTTGCTGTAACTGCCTTTACGACACTTGGCAGGTCAAACATTTTAAACTCAATTAATTGCCAAATAAGACACAAAAGAACCTGGCACAGAAATCCAGGTCAGAGTTATCATGGCTCCGGCAGTGACACCATTTCTAAATTATTTATCAGATCAAATTCCTGATGTCCCGACCTGCCCACGGTTTTGTGTGTCTTTGTGAATGTCTGCCAAACAAGTGCAAATGAACAGAGCAGAGAGATCGGCTCAGACTTTACACCAGCGTGGAGTGTGTGAGCAGAGTCTCAGATGAGGGTCACTGAACTGAGGGTTTGCTTCTGTTCCTCTAGGTGGTGTTATCCTGTACGCCGGCTCCTCTGGCAGTGCCAGCCCCAGTCCTGGCAGTCCTTCAAGTGGATACCAGACCCAGTCGCCCTCCTCCCACTCACAGCCATCGTCCCCTGAGGGTGTCTCCTTTCAGGAGATTGGGGCCCTGAGGCAGAGGGAACAAGGGAGTGGCACGCCTTCTCCAAAAGTCTTCCAGTTTCCCGAAGTGAACAATGCTCCCGTTGCCCAGGTCACCACAGCGGCATCATCAGCCACCTACAGCCATCCCACAGTGGCCAAGAGACCTTGTGGTTTCACTGGCACATTCACCAGTGAGTACCCACTCGTTTCCCTCCCTCCTGTTCTCCTTTGTGTTGCCCAGCAGCAGTTTCTGATGATGAGTGTGTGTGTGTGTGTGCTTCTTTCCCAGAAACCGGGGGTATGGTGCTTCTGTGTAAAGTGTGTGGAGACATCGCATCAGGGTTCCACTATGGCGTACATGCCTGTGAGGGCTGCAAGGTGAGAGTGAAGACTGGATCCATTATGCTTTCCCTGGCACGCACACACACTGATACAGTGTCAGAGCAGACATGACTCAAATGAATAATTCTCCTTCATGCCTCTTCCAGGGTTTCTTCAGACGCAGTATTCAACAGAACATCCACTATAAGATGTGCGTGAAGAATGAAAACTGTCTTATCATGAGGATGAACAGAAACCGCTGCCAGCACTGTCGCTTTAAGAAGTGTCTTTCCGTGGGCATGTCCAGAGATGGTGAGACACTGTTGATGTGTTTAGAATATTCTTCACAGGAAACAGAAAAACATGTTCAACCAGAAGGAAAAAAAATGCATCTTAGGCAATTCTTAGCTACTGTAAAAACCCACCCCTCCTCATGTTGTCCTTCTCTCTTACTGCTCCAATTATTTTCACCTTTTGTCTCCTTCTGACGCCCTCTCTTCTGGCCCTGCTGTCTGATTTATGGCTGCAGGAGCCCAGGAGTCTCAGTAGTCATCAGTCATACAGAAACTGTGACAAATAGAGTTTATTTTGGGAAATTGGGGCACAGAGATGTTGGTCACCCTCAGTGTTCACCAAAGACTCGTCGCTTTACATATTGATTGTTTTTGTCCTCTCCACCACTGGCATTCGCAAGCAATCCTGCGCAGCATATGATAATTGCAGTCACTTACTCATAAGACCTGTGCTTGAAATTCAAATAACCAGGCAGCAGCGGCTAACCTGCAGCAGCACTTCTCGTCACCGCGGGAGGCTGATCCCTGGGGGATGTAGCTGAACTGGGGGATGATAAATCATGGTTTTCTGGAGCAAATATTTTTAGTTGACCCAAAAAAGCCAAAACCAGACAATGGAAAAACACAGAGCTGCCAATTCTTTAGATTGCAGTGGAGAACCAAAATTAGTTACCATCTTCTTTTTTTTTTTAGACAAAACATGCATTAGATTAACTTTTTCCCTTCATCAAAATGTTATTTCTTCACACCTGAACCAAAACAAAAACACACTATTTTAGCCTCACTTCAAGCCATCATCTCTTCACCTCTATTATCAGGAAGTCATTGAGTCTATCTGACCTTTCAACCACTCACTAGTGAAGTCCTTTTACCAATGACATCATGTTTAGTGCTGTTGACCTAGTGACCTAGTTACAAATGAACTCAGAGAAGGAGAGCTCAATGGAAAAGGCAGAAAGGGAGCAAAAGAGACAAGGGAGGAGGAAGGAGGGGGGGGGTGCAGCAGACACACTACTATAAATAGGTCTGAGTGGAGGAGGGAAGAAAAAATTCAAAACGCTGCAGAGGAAGATGAGACGGACATGAGATGAAGGCTTGGCTGTCTATTGTGTTGAATGGAAGTGTGTGTGAGATGATGACAGACCAGTCACTCAGACACATCATGGTCTGAACACATTACAGAGGAGGGGTCAGGTGCAAGAACACAGTGTTGTGATGCACTGCATTCGTTCTATGTGAAAAACATTTTATGATAAAGTGAGTAGTGAGTAAGTGAAGATCCAGAGGTTGTTAGCCAAGGCTAGCTTAGTAGCGCTGGTTACTAAGCTAAGTTATTTAAGGTCAGGCGAGACTAATAAGTAATAGATCTCCAAACCTCCCTGTATTCCAGAACACAATTCTGATTATTTTTGAGGTCAGACACATTTTGTGTTAGTGGTTAATGTTTAAAAAGGGGAGCATTAATGCCTGTTATGGGTTAACATCTCAACCTTACGTCAGAACCCTATTATTAAACACTGTTGTACCCTTCCTGGTAGTAATTATGTTCTAACAGAGTGTTCCCTCTTCATATTTCCTCCTCAGCTGTCCGTTTCGGCCGTATTCCCAAAAGGGAAAAGCAGAGACTACTGGATGAGATGCAGAGCTACATGAACAGCCTGAACGAATCAGCTTCCATGGAAATGGAGGCGTCATCTCCTCCCGAGGCCCTGACCAACTCACAGAACCAGACGACCAAGGGCTCCACACAGCAGTCCTACCAGAGCAGCTTAACCAACAGTGACGAGAAGCCCCTGAAGATGGCCTCCCACAACAACAACAACAACAGCGTCAGCACTTCCTCTTTCCAGAACACTTTGGTGCAGGAATCTGCCCTGTCTCACTCCTCCACCCAGACACCACACACAGGTTCTGGGAATCAGATGAACGTGACGTTAAGCTACAACACCACCACAAACTGCCTGGTCGAACCCAAGGATGAGTCCACCGATACCAGCGTCGATAATAGAAACTACAGCTTCTCCTCCAATCACAATCAATGTCCAGTTAGTGGAAACCTATCTCCTCGGTCATACCTGTCCAATCAGAGCTCCTTCCAAGCTAACGATTCCCAGCATCCAACCAGCTGCCCTTGGAAGCTGAGTGGGAGTTCCAAAGTGCTGGTGAGCCTTTTTTTCTCTCCATTACATCATTGATATTTTCTGAGTCAATGTGAAAAAGAAATCTATTTAAAATCCCTAACACACGTCCTCCTTCTTCTTCTTCTCCTCTGCAGGCATGTCCACTCAACTCCTGTCCTGTAGCTCCTGCTAATCGATCCAGCCAGGAGGTGTGGGAGTCGTTCTCCCAGTGCTTTACCCCAGCTGTCAAAGAAGTGGTGGAGTTTGCAAAGAGCATCCCAGCATTCCAGACTCTCAGCCAGCACGACCAGGTCATGCTGCTCAAATCAGGCACTTTCCAGGTAAATTTCACAGCACAAGTTAATCATTTCCTGTACGTTCCCTCTGAAGTTGTATGTGTTTCTGACGCCGAACTCTTCTGGTTCTGTTCTCAGGTCCTGATGGTCAGGTTCTGCTCCCTGTTTAATGCCAAGGAGAAGACAGTGACCTTCCTGAATGGTCAAACGTACTCCTTGGCGTCGCTGCGGGCTCTGGGCATGACCTCTCTACTGGACTCCATGTTCGATTTCAGTGAGAAGCTCGGTTCCTTGGGTCTGGAGCCGGACGAGATGGCACTGTTCATGGCTGTGGTGCTTGTATCAGCTGGTAAGTCTCGTCAGCTACAGACAAACAGAATCATATAAAGCCACATTTTCACAGGTCTAAAACCACTTCCTTCTCTTCCTCCTTCCAGACCGCTCTGGTGTTGTGGATGTGGGGGCAGTGGAGCTGCTGCAGGAGAACTTAATCAAAGCTCTGAGATCTCTCATGACCAGCCGCCGCCCTGACGACAGCACCATCTTCCCAAAGTTGCTGCTTCGTCTGCCGGACCTGCGTACTCTGAACAACCAGCACTCTGACAAACTTTTAGCATTTCGCATTGATCCTTGAGTCCTGGTGGCCTCAGCTTGCCCCACGCTCCTCACGGGATAATGTGTGAGCTATGCCAAGAAAACAGCTGCGAGAAAGTGGACTCACAAAAAAAAAAAAAAAAAGCTAAGGACGGATGCACAGCAGGAGGCACAGGCTCCTGAACTCAAACCTATCTCTTCTCCACTCACTTCCAGGATTGCTAGATAAAAAAATGTATTACAACATAGACAATGTTCTTCCATGATTGTTTTTTTTTTAATTTAACATCAAACTAACAATGTATACATTTCTCCTCCTGGATCTGGTTTCTTGTCTGACCAAGACCAAATAGAGAGAGCGCGTCTTGTACCTCACCAGATCTGGTTGGCCTTATCTAAAACTCAGAGCTACAAGAGCTGGAAAGAGGCAAACGGGCAGCTCTACTAGGAGAAAAAAATATACAAGCCTTCAGCAGCTATGAGTTCATTCTTAACATTCATGCTATCAGTGTAAAATGCACTTTCCTTCTCTTGACATTACTATATAATGACCTAAGCTATTTTCACATCACGTGAGAAATCCTTGACTGACAAGTAGGTATAAAAATTGTAAGAAGCGATTCGTGTGTTCTCTTGTAAATTGTGTACATAGACTTTATTCTCTGTTCATACCCTCACTAGTTTGCAGACACTTGTAAATGTAAATTGGTATTATGTAATATGTCACATTAAAGATTGCTCTATAGACTGCAGAGAAAGCAGCTTTTGAACCGTGTGTTATGAGTATAAAATTTTTATTTGAAGATAAATATATACATATATATAAATATATATATAAGAAATACATGTATTGGTAACTGACTGCATCACTCTGTGTATATTTTGTAAATGTTTTATGGTCAAACCATAGAGTTCCATTATTAAATAATGCTGTATAGCATTTTCCTGTGCTGGTCTCTTTTCATTTTCCACACCTTACAGTGACTGTAACGACAGTGACTTTGCCTAGACACGCAACAGCACCGTTGCTATAGTGACAGGAGGATCAGCTGATCCCACATCAGGTCTGAGAGCCATTTAAGGCTTTATTAAAACCGGAATAATCACTGATGAATACAGTTTCATAGAGACACACTTTGAACGATGCCTAAAGTTGAGAGACTTAATTGAAAGTCATCAATCAATGCTCTTAACACTGTCATCCCTACAGACTAATGGACAGCCTGGGGAAAATAACTTAAATATACATTACATATCTAGAAACATTAATAATTAAATAAACAGATGAACAAACACCGGTGGCTAAATGTTCCTTATCAGATGTGGGCTATGACCTGAGACATTTATAATAAATAAAAAGCAATCCAAACTAAAATTAATATTTTGGTAGATCAGTACATATGTTAGCTAAAAAAAATATTAAATAAAAAAAGGTGACGGTATTGGGACACCGTATGCCATCTGCTGGACAAGTTAGAAATAACCTTAAAAATGGGACCGGTGATAATACTTTCGACCTCAGGCTTCTATTTGTAATTACGGTTCAAATCAATATATACAGTACAGGAAGAAACAAGTTGTGACTAATAACCGCATAACTGAATTTCATAACAGAATGTGACACTTAAACTACAATGTGGTATTCTGACCCTGTCGGTTCATCGTTGCTCGATACATGGATACATTTAAAATAAAAAAAAGTTAAAGTGACGAGGCTTTTTTTTTTAAAGGAGGTTGAGACTTTTAAAAAATAAATAAAAAAGAACCTACCACAAGCGAGCAAAGTAGTTTTATTCTTTGGTGTTCTGCCGCCATCTAGTGGCCACAGTGAAACGTAAAAACAAAAGAATGAGCTATTTCAATAGGAGTTTTTACACTGTCATTCATTCTCTACCGTTTATTGTTTTCGAGACGGGGTTGGGGGTTTGGAGAGAGCCAATCCCAGATACTAATCGTAGTGACGTAACGTCTTAGGTTCCCTCGTACATTCTCTCGACTCGTATATACCCTGAGCTTTTACGGTCACACCATAAGTACGGAACTGACGAGGCGTCAGTTCTTCAAAAAGTAAAATAAATATTATTTTGGAGGTAAATCTCGAGCGCTCTCTTGCGGGCATCAACACAACTACATTAAAAAACTACTGTGAACTTAATATAAAAAACATCACAAGTTATTATTGTATGTCTCTCATTTGATATCTCCTGAGAAAGAAATAATTCCACGTAGTCCCTGCAATGTCACTGTGGGCCACTAGGGTTATGTATACCACTGTTGGATTACAACTAAGTAAACCTGGAAATCTCTGTCTGTGACGAAACGCTGTAATGACTTTTTACACCCCCTGTCTTGCAGCAGTAGCATATTAAAGCTACCTGGTCACTTCTGGAACATCCCCATTCTGACAGGGACGGGGGAGGACGGGGGAGGATGGCTGGACAGGGATCAGGGTTAGAGAGAGATTAAGCAGATGAAGGCCTATAAAGCTGCAGTGTAATCCTCACACTGGTGACACAACCAAAGCAGCAGCAACAACAACAACTATTCTCTGCACGTCTTGGATGAAATAAACACCGCTAGCAAGAAAAACACAGATAAAGAAGAGGAAAAAAAAGGAATAATCATGAAAAAGGGAAAGGTATGTTTTCGGCTTTTATACTTCACAGTGACATGACTGTATACACAGCTACTATCAGCTACTCTGTAATATTTTAAAATGAATATCCTTCAAATCCTCCATATTGGATTGATGTCATTTAAACTTTAAACATGTCTTAATTAAATAATAATAATTTACATTTGGTGAGATTCTTATATCAACCGAAGGATTTTTAAAAATTTGACCACTGTCTTCATAGTTCTAAGTGATCGTTTTCTAAAGACGTTCTTATTTCCCAGCAGGTCAACGATGACGAGCCTCCGAGTTATCAAGATGCAACCGCAGGTAAACGTGAAATTACTATTTGTATATTTATGTAAGCTCACAAAAACAAAATATACATATGAAAAAGTGAATATTTGTTAAAAGAAAATATACAAAATATACATATGAAAAAGTGAATAATATTTGTTAAAAGAAAATAATTTTTTAAAACAAATCACCAAGACCTATAGGGTCAGACTCCAGATCAACAAAAAAAAGAGCCACAGAGTCACTCGTGAGCAAAAGACAACTTGGTAGGTCAATACAGAAGTTAGCCATTCTGTAGTTTTAGTATAACCTAGCTACAAATGAAAACAGCCACAAATCAGCCTCTTAGAGCCTGTAAGTTAGACCACAATAAGATAAAACATATCCACGAGATTCAGCCAAAATGGCAACACAGAACACCATCAGTAAATGTTAGCCAACCAGCATAAAAAATGTAAGCAAAAAAACCCAAACCAGACTATAGCTTAGCAAAGATGGCAAAATTTAATTTGTTGCTGAGATCCATGTTTACTACAAAATATATCAAGTAGCCTTAAAATATTCGACTAATTTGACAATATTTTACATTATCCAATCTTTTTAAATAAGTCATGAATATATGAACCTGTGTCATTCGAATGCCTTGGAATTCAATGCAAAATATCAATGTACAATTTTGCATATATAACCAAGTTTACCTTCGGTGTCTGTGTCCAGGCTATGAGGAAATGCAGGCTCAGTTTTCCTGGGACGACAAGACCATCAGACGGACCTTCATCAGGAAGGTGATGAAGAGCTCACACTAACCCAACTGTGACTGTGACTCCTATGTGACATTCATTCATACCTGTCATCCTGCAGGTCTACGCCATTCTCATGGTCCAGCTTCTGGTCACCGTGGCCATCATCAGTCTCTTCACATTTTGGTAACAGCTGCTTTAATCTGTAGAAAATATTGAGGTTTGTTAATGATAACGTAATTGAACTTTTTTCTCTCTTACAGTGCCCCTGTCAGGTTTTTTATTCAGACACATCCTGGCCTTTACCTGGCTTCTTAGTAAGTGATCATAATGAATTCAAATATACTTAAAGCACATTCTTTAATTAATTTTATTCACTGAATTTGCCATGTCTTTCTTTTCATTTAGCCTCATGTTTTGCTCTACGTACATTGCTCTGTCCTGCTGTGGAGAACTGAGGTAACGTTCAGGTTGCTCATTTTGAGCTTTTTTTTTTTTTTTAATTTTACATATTTTTGCCTTCAATTTTAGGAAATTGTGGCAACTTTTTAGAATAATTTGTTTTAATATTAATTAAGAACTAGCTATAGTTAGCATTTAGTATCTATAGGCTAAACCCGGATATCATTTGGGAAATATTTCAGGTATTTTAGAGACCTTTCAGTATTTTAAGTTTAATTAAGTTGTTATCTATTCGATAACTCGATAACCACCATTTCTGAAAGCTAAACATTCAGCATATTCATGTCAATTCAATATTCAAGAGAAATCACGAGGAGCATTTTTTACATTATTACCATTATTATCTATTCAAACAGGAGACAGTTTCCCTGGAACATCATTCTTCTAGTTCTGTTTGTAAGTATTCAACTGAATTACATTCACAAACCATTTCCTGAAAGTTGGCAGACTCTCTTAAAATACAACTACATTTTGTGTCATTTGCTAACACAATTTAACTTAAATTTTACCTGAGGACTGAAAAAAACCCTTTCGTTGATATTAAACATGTAAAAATAATTCGTTCTTGAAAAGTCTTGTGTGCCAAAGGTGTGCCAACTTTTCTGGAAACCGAGTTTGTGTGACATACTTTAAACATTGTTAATGTGTTATAAAGAACAGCATTCAAGCTAACTGTGGCTTTCTCCTTTACCTTGAAAGACTTTGAGCATTTCCATCATGATGGGATTCATATCAAGGTAAACGTTCATTCCTAGGGTGTAACGAGATTACGTAGGACCAAATCACGCGATACCAAGTCGAAGATATAGTCTTCGGCTAAAGCTAAAGCTAAAGCTGTTTGGCGAAGCATTATGTCGTTTCCGTCTGCCAAAATTATCCTGGCAGACGCACCCAAAACGTTTATAAGGATTGTAGGGCAGCATTTAGGCAGAAACGAAAAAACAACTTAATAGTGACAAACGAGACTAGGGCCAGACGGACACTTCCGACTTTAAGTTTCTCTGGGACTACTTTACCCGACGTTTTACAGCGTAGGGAATTTCAGGACCTATGGCAGGGCCTGATCACGACGTTACGTAATATGTATCCTTAACCACACCAACACCAGTGGCCTTAAGTTACATAGTTTATTATAAATATTACATATTTATTATACGTATTGTTAATTATTATATACGTAATAAAATACATAGTTTTTTTTATAGATATACGTAATAAAATACATAGTTTTTTATAAAATAAAAAAATAAAATAAAATGGCTAAATAAGTCTTATCTTACAAAGCTATGGAGTTGGTGTCTGTCAGAGGACATGACAAAATAGTTCTGGGACAGAGAATAAACCTAAAATCTCATTAATTTTATTGGGATTCCTTTCAGCTAGGGTAGCAAAAATGACATTTTATCCTTATTTTCAAAACCATTAAAATACAAATTCAGTGATAATTAAAAAACAGGTCTTGTTAGCTCATTCTAAAGACTGAAGAAAATCTGTCACTTTCTTGTATTAGTGGTCCAATATCATGTATTGTCTCGTGAGTTAAATGTATCAATACACCCTTTCATACATTTGTATACAATGTAATCACACATATATGAGTGATTTCAACCTTTCTAGTTTCTAATGTGAATGTGTTGTGTGTCTGTTCTTGCTGCAGCTTTTACAACACTAAATCAGTACTGCTGTGTGTGGGAATCACAGCCATGGTCTGTCTCGCTGTCACCATCTTCAGCTTCCAGAGCAAAGTAAAAAAAAAAAAAAGAAAAAACTCTAGTAAATGATCACAAACAATCAGATTAACGCTCCTTCCTGCTGCAGGTTGATGTCACATCCTGTCAGGGCGTCCTGTTCTCTCTGTGTATCGTCATGCTCCTCTGTGCCATCACCATCTCCATCGCCGTGCCCTTTGGATACGTAAGTTGTACAGACTCCAGAGTTTTCCATCAACCTTTCTGTGAGAAGTCTTAAAAATAGCTGTAACCAATCAATGAATTAATGGACGGTGAGGTTAATGCCCCTCAGGTGCTGCCTGTATTTGGGTTTACGTCAGAGGATTAGCTTCAGGGCTTGAACACTGAAGCACGTCGTCGTGGTTCTCAAATTAGCAACAACATATCCTTCTTAACTGTTTGGTAAGACTTTTTTGTCTCGACAGATTCCCTGGTTACACGCTGTCTATGCCGTGATAGGAGCCATTCTGTTTACACTGGTGAGAATCATCCACATTGGAAAAAGTTCATTGTCATCCTCCTCATTTTCTCCAAAG